TTCTAGTTTCCACAAGCATTTTTTTTCTTTTGCTCAAAATTGAGATTGCCGACGTGTTTCTGTTTTCGAGACATGGTAAAAGCCAAGCCAGCCGAAGTAGGACATGGTGATAAAAAGCTAATGGTCCGCCCAAATCTGTGGAACTTGCTATATCGGATAGTGACCTCGTCCACGGGACTTATCAGGTAGGGAAGGTTTTACTGTACTTAGGGATAGACCATCCAAAGGGAGTTGCCCCCCCCAAAAAAAACCACACACACACACACTAAAGGGCTAATACCTTTGAGATTGTGCAACGCTACTTCTGCTCAACAGTGTTGGAGCCATATGCTATTTAACGACGCAGACTTGGTGAGCAGAAAAAAGGAAGTCGAGTGCTGAATTACCGTTACCTAAGTAAGACTGATCTTACCTCGGGGACCCCGCCCCCCCCCAGTATTATCACATGGTGCGTGACGTATGTCGGAGCGTGCTACTCTGTAAGCACAGTGCGGCACATGCAGTGCAACTGGATACGCGTCATCTTGACGTACTACGGTATCTGCGTCATCAGTCTAGTGCAACTCGTAGTTCAGCTTCGAGGAGGTCAGGCATTGAACAGGAAGCGGTCGCTCAGCGGCTTTTGCATAACTCTCAATTCTACTCACTTCTCATTTCTCCGGGTTCGACTCACATACCAAGTTCATATCTATCCAAAAGGTCATACGCGCCAACACCACGACCGCCTTCACGACCAAGCTCCACAAGCTCGACGGAACGGGATACCGCGTCTGGGCGTGGCAGCTCCAGCTGTATCTGGAAGTAAAGGATGTGTGAGGTGCTGTGCTGAAGCCGGCACCAACATCGCTGCAACTCGAGAATGAGGAGACCGGCCAAGCTAATCGTCCGTTACAGCAGAGGGAGCGACCGCTACATCAGCTGCAGTTGCAGCAGAAACTCGCCATGACCATCATTCTGTCGGCGCTGACTGAGGATCAAGCCGCGTTGGTTGCGGACTTACCGCATCCGCAGGCCATGCTGAAAGCGCTGCAGAAGACGTACCGCCATGTGTGCTACACGACAGTCGGATCACTTAAGCGAGAGTATATGGCTCTCTACATCGATGTCGGTGGTGACATGCTGGAGCACATCCGGCAAACCCGCTTGATGCTGGCAGAATTGGAGTGCTATAAGGTATCCATCAGTGATTCTGAGAAGAAGAGTAACTTTCTACAAAGCCTTGGGCCCGACTGGAATGGCTACATAAGCTCGCTGGAAACATGCACTACGATCGATGAGCTTCTGATTAAAGCGGCCGCCGAGGCAATGCGCCGTGCGACTCAAACACAACGTGGAAAGCGGAGTGGTGCCCCAGCAGTGCGTGGCGGTAGTGCCTTTACGGCGGCCACGCACGGGAAGTCAGTTGTGAAGAAGGGTAAATGCTTCAACTGTGGGAAGCGTGGTCACTTCAAGAACGAATGCAAGTCGAAGAAGCGACTCATCGGTGCATCTGGCGGTGAGAACAACAGCTAAGGCAACAGTGGTGGCGCAGAGAGCGGTTTTGGCTATCATGTGAGTTCTGTATCGGACTCAGGGAGCCTACTGGATAATCGACTCTGGCGCATCCAGTCACATGACGGGCGCGCGTGTACTACTGTCTGGTCTGAGTAAGATGGACACAAACGTTTTCGTTACGACGGCTAATGGGATGAAGCTTAACGCGACGCATCGGGGGAAAGCGCACTTGCCACTGGCTACTGGCGGAATGTGCACTTTGGATCAAGTACTGTTTGTGCCTGTGCTGCAACGCAATCTCGTCAGTCTTAGCAAGGTCAGAGCTGCAGGGCTTACGGCCACGTTTGATCATGAGCGATGCGTGATTACGAGCGGCAAGTCCAAGCTGGTAGCAACTCGACGAAGCAGTGGTCTGTATGTTGTGGAGGTGCCCAGTACTATCCGTAATGCTGAAGCGGGATACGTGTCTGGCGATCGGCTGAACGACTAATCCCTCTGGCACGCCAGGCCTGGACATTTGAACGTTCGAGACTTGATGAAAGTGCTGAAAGACGGTGGTGTGACAACGCGCGACAAGCAACTGCGTCCCTGTGAGGCTTGCGCAGCTGGGAAATTAGCCAGACCACCTATCTTATCGAAGAAATCACGAAAACTTAAGTGCGGACAAGTCCTGATCGCAATCGACTATGTGGGGCCAATGGAAACGACATCGCGTGATGGTTATACCGACTTGGTAAGTATGATGATCGAGCCCTATCACTTAGCTGCGGTTTTTCCAGTCAAAGACAAAGGCTCAGCTACGCAGCTGCGAGCACTCCGTGAGTGCATTGCAAACTCGAAGGTAGCGGTCCCGAAGGCAAAAGTGTCTGTACTGAAGAGCGACAACGCTGCTGAGTACGTTGGTGGGGAAATAGCCGAGTTCTACAACGAGAACCGGATTGCGCAAGAGTTCAGCACCCCATACACCCCGCAGCAGAACGGCAAAGTTGAGCGGGGCAACCGTGTTGTCATCGAAATGGCGCGATCCATGCTTCAGGCAGCTGGGGTGGAAAAGCGCTTCTAGAGCGACGCGGTTTTGGCCGCAGCGTACATTCGAAATCGCTGCCCGACTAAGGTACTAGCTGGGGCGACACCTATCGCAGCACTGTGTGCCAGTGCTGAGCAAGCTGCGAGTCTTTGGCTGTGATGTGAAGTGTTGCTTCCCAAATCGCAGCGGCAGAAGCTGGATGCCAAGACGGCGAAAGGAGTCTTTATCGGCTACGAGAAAAGCGGTGGGTATCGCTTCTGGGTGCCAACTAGACGAGACGGTCTCGGACAGGTCGTCATATCACTTACGGCAGTCTTCTTCGAGTTTTAAGTCCCTAAAACAAGTTAGTGATACTAGAGGGAGAGCTGCCAGCAGCGACACAGCCTGAGCCAACCAGTGACTGTGCCGGTTGGGCTGGATACAGTACAAGAAGACGTGGAAATGGAACCTGCCGAACATGATACATCGGCCGCCGGAGAAGATCAGAGGCAGCACATCGTTGACTCCCGCATGGAGAAGCAAGTTGTTTGCCGCAGCACTCGTATCAAGAAGAAAAGTGTTCGCAGACTCGAATTTGAGGAGTCGCACAACGCGGAGGAAATGGCATTGGTGAGTGAGCTATAAGACCCACTCACGCTGCAAGAAGCCATGTCTCGTCCGGATGCGGAGCAGTGGCGCCAAGCTATCAACGCAGAGCTGGACAGTTTGAGACGCAATGGCACCTACGAAGAAATGTTTCCTCCAGCAAACGTACGTCCTGTGCAAACCAAGTGGGTATTTCGTCGTAAGACCCTCGCAAACGGATCCTTGGACAAGTACAAAACCCGGTTAGTAGCCAAAGGACTCACACAGCAGTATGGAGTGGACTATACAGAGACCTTCAGCCCCGTCGTTCGTCACGACTCAATCCGAGCCATTCTGACTTTGGCTGTTCGACTCGGCTGGGATCATCTTCAACTTGATGTGCAAACGGCATTCTTGAACAGCAGCCTGTCAGAAGAGATCTTTGTAAGCCCCCCCCCCTTCCCCCCGATTGAAAATGGTGATGGCAAGGTATGGAAATTTCGTAAAGCTCTATACGGGTTGAAGCAGGCGTCGCGAGCTTGGTACGAGACCGTGACCAAGTTCTTGTGCTAGTGTGGTTTCGTGCAGTGCCAATCCGACACCTTCGTTCTTGTTAAGCGCAGCGCTAACAGCATTGTGGTCGTTCTCATATGTAGATGACATGCTCATCTTCAGTGATGTGACGACAGAACTGACTGACTTTCAAGTGAATATTGCTCGTCGATTCGCGATCAACAAGTGTGATACCTCTAGCAGCTTCGTTGGTATGAAGATGTCATGGAGCAAGAACGGCGACATACTGTCAATTGCACAGCTGAAGTATGTCGGCATGGTTATCAAGCGATTTGGCAACAGCTATGGTTAAATGCAGCCTCGCACTCCGATGAACATCGACTTACAGCACCAAGTGATCGATGATATGGAGATAATTGGTGAATCATTTCGTCCTGTTGTGGGATCGCTACTATATGCATCGACAGTGAGTCGTCCTGATCGTGCCACAGCAGCTCGTCTCATCGCTCAAGAAACGGAGCAGCCAACACGCACGCTGCAAGCTGCAATTGGTCGTGTGCTGGGTTATCTCAAGCGAACGGCGGACATGGAGCTGGTATACCGTCAATCTGGAAAAGGGCTGCAGCTTGAAGTGTACTGCAATGCTGCCTTTGCATGCGAGAAGGAACGGAGGTCGTCCTCTGGCTTCGTTGTGTTTTTGAATGGGTGCTGCATTGCGTGGGGATCAAAGAAACAACCAATCGTCACTCTGTCGACTACTGAATATGCGTACGTGGCTCTAAGTATATGATGATAAAGCGACATTTGCACCCAAACCTAACCACTCTTTATACACACTCATTGACCCCCATCCCTACACTATTAGAAACAGAAAAAAAATAAAAAATCTAATTTTGACAAGCCCCATCCTATGGTATCGATGGGTTGAAAACACTAAAGCACACAAACCACCCAGAGCCTTCAATCGAACCTATCAGACGCTCTGAGAGTATCATTAGTTTTACTCAAAAGCAGAAAATTCTAATTTTGCATAACCATGCGATCTTGAATTAATTAAATTGTTATCCTAAATTATCTTTCTATTTAGTATAACAAGATAAGAAGATAAAAAGATAACAAAATGGTTTACACTCAAGAGCTTTATCAGAAGAACAAGGAATCAATAATCGCAGCAAAGAAGCGCTACTATCAAAAGAACCGAGAGAAAATCCTACGGAAGCAAAAAGAGTATGATCAAACACATCGAGAAGAAAGGAAACAGAAATATTTAGCTAAAAAACTAATCAACCAAACTACTGACTATTAATATTTTTTTTGCTTACAAACAATGTTAATCACTATATATACAAAGACATTGTCATCTTGAATTACGTTTTACTTAGTATATATAAACATTTTCAAAATGCCAGTCTCGAATAATCTAAAGAAGGCTCAAAAGACCCGCAGCGACCTCTATAAGTTTGCTAAGACCCACAACCTAGATGTTAATTGGAAAATGAAAACCTCCACTATGGAGAAGGTTGTCAATACATTCAAACAAAGCAAAGTAAAAACAATTGTGAAGACACTCCGTAAGGTTAAGCTAAACAATGACACAGCTAGTTTAAAAGCTGTCAATAAAACAACAGGTAAAGTTGAAATGCAATTGAATCGTTTCGAGCGTATCCGCAAAGACATTGTAGCTCCAGCCGATAAGAAACTTTTACTGCATTTTAAAGGTGAGAATGGATCCGTTTTGAAAACATATCATCTACAAGATAGACTAATTAATATCGATAATCTATATATCACTGAAGAGAATCAATATAGTTCCGGGGCTGATATTGAATTAGACATTATTCCAACATCAACAGTTGAAATCGAATGGTTGAACAACCCAAAGCACTCTCGATCTGAGAGAAAGAATTTCTTTCGTTATCTAACTAAAGCAAATTACAATTTAAATGATTTTCAAGTTTATTATGATGATTGGGAAGAAAATTCATATAAAGAGCAAAGAGAAACACCTTGCTTTCTATTTGCTCTAACTCAAGCTGGTGTTGATGAAACAATCGTAAAAAGTATCTCACAAACAATGTTCAATTCAGGTGCTACTGTTGATTTCATTCGCAAGACAGCTAATGTATTCAACCTTTACATCTCAGTGAAACAATACTATCCAAAGAATTATACAGGTAGAGTTGATAACAACATTTCTGTCTACGGAGTTAAAACTGAAAATCTTATACAATTAGGTTCTGTTGGACAGCATCTATTTGCTATCAAACCAACTAACATTACCAAAGCAGCTCTTGATGATCCTAAATTAGTTGAACAACATCAGCGAGCTGATTTTATAGTTAAAAAGGGAAAAGCATCCTTTAAATCCAATCGCATTAAATTACTTGACAGTTATGAGGTAATCAGCTATCTATATCATCATCGTGAAACACTATTAGATCCAATTACACAAACCAACGTACCCGAGTTATTAAATAATAACTATCAAAAGATTGAATCTTTAACTGAAGTGGATTTTTATGCAAGTGCTTTCAAAGCAATTGGCAGAGTAAATTCAAATGGAGAAAAGGATGAAATGGCTTTGAATATTGGTCGCGCTCCTTTTATACAGATTACTAAAGATGACGATGGAAAAAGAAAATGGGTGGAGGTTAATGAATATAATGTTATTTATTTTGATTTTGAAACTCTGGTTGAAAATAATGAGCATATTCCTTATTGTGTATCATATTGCATCGGACGTAAGACTGAAAGCAATGCAATTCAATTTAGTAAAACAAAAAGCTTTTATGGAATTGGATGTGAATTAAAGTGTTTAAGTGACTTACCTAGAAAGAGTCGTAATCTACTTTGGGCTCACAATGCAGGTTTTGACTGTCGATTTATCCTTAGACACTTATCATATCGGAAAAATGATACAAATCTGATTGAATGTGGAACAAAATTAAAGCAGGCTCATGGATTTTTCTATGGTCGTGAGATTGTTATTAAAGATACTATGAGTTTCATTGCTAGTAAATTAGCAGATATGCCCGAAATGTATAAATCATCGTGCAATGATATGGCACTAGAAAAAGAGTGCTTTCCACATAAATTGGTTTGCAAATATAATCACCGACTACTTTGGGCCAATGGATCTATTAGATTACTATGAGGAAAAAGAAACACTAATAGCTAATGCTACTAAAATCAATGCTTGTGATGATAAATATTTCGATTGTGAAAAGTATGCTATTCACTATTGTGAGAGAGATGTTGATGTTCTACGAAACTGTTTTGAGGCGTTTAGAAAAATGTTTATTGATCGATTTAATATTGATGTGTATCGCTTTATGTCAATGCCTTCATTAGCATATGCAATTCAACATAATGAGGGTTGCTTTGATGATTGTTATGCAATGAATGGAAACGTTCTAGCATTCGTTCGCGATGCAATTGTTGGTGGTCGTGTTATGACTCGAGACAACGAGAAACACCATATACAACATAAGCTTGCAGATTTTGATGCTGTATCTCTGTATCCATCAGGACAATCTGAACTCGATGGATATGTTAGAGGAAAACCTAAATGGTTCCAAAATACAATTCCAAATAATGCTGACTACTATATTGCTCGCGTAAAATTTGAGTCAATTGGTAAGAAACGACACTTTCCATTGTTGAGCTTCTATGAAAATGGAGCTAGAAACTTCACAAATGATATTATTGGTAAGACAATGATTGTTGGTAAACAAGCGCTTGAAGATATTATTGAATTCCAGGATGTTGAAATTTCAATTATGGAAGGTGTTTATTGGAATGAAGGATTCAATAATCAAATTGTATTGACAATCAAATCACTATTTGAGGAGCGACTGAAATTAAAAAAAGAAGGCAATCCACTTCAAAGCGGTGTCAAATTATTAATAAATTCAGCGTATGGTAAACTAATTCAAAAGCCAATTGTTAAGCAAAAGGTTTTGGTTAGTGATGAGAAAAGTATTCTTGAATATACTATCAAAAATATTAATAAGATGATCTCTAGAACACCAATTACAGATGATTTAGCATTGTTTGAAGAGCACAAGGCATTATCAGAATATTTTAGCCCAGCTCATCTAGGAGTACAAGTATTGGATAGTAGTAAACATATTATGAATACAGTGATGTGCTTAGCAGAAGATATTGATGCTAAGATATGGTACCAGGACACAGACTCTATGCACATCGATTACGATGCTGTCAGTAGACTTGCAGATGCTTTTAGACAAAAGTATAACAAAGAGTTAATTGGTAAGCAAATGGGACAATTTCACGTCGATTTAGATCTTGAAGGATCAGAAGGTAATATCTATGCTAAAGAATCTATCTTTCTTGGTAAGAAGAGTTATTTGGATATACTTGCTTGCGATGGTAATGATGTAGAAGGTTTTCATATCAGATGTAAAGGCATCCCATCAAAGCTTCTTGAAAATGATACCTACAAAAAATATTTGGAACTCTATAATGGTGAGGAATTAGAATTTGATTTGAGTGATGTATGTCCAATTAAAATTAATAATAAAACTCAACGTGTAACTACAACGTTAAATTTCAAACGAAAATTATCATTCAAATAGTATAATATGGACTCTCTACTTACTCAGCTCTATTATGATCCAAAAACGGGATTCATAGGTGCAACTAAGCTATACCAAAAAGCAAAAGCAATTGATAAAAATATAACGTTAAAACAAGTCAAAGAATGGTATAAGACACAAGGTAGCATTCAACAATATTCAAATCAGAATAAAAAGTATCCCGAATTCAAAATCACAAGCAATAATCCCAACGAATGGCAAATGGATCTTGCATTCTGGAAGAAGCAACCTATATTGATAACGGTTAATATTAACAGCCGAATTGGATACGCAAGATTATTGAAAAACAAACAAGCGGCTACGGTTCAAAAAGCTATCGATCAATTCATTACAGAGCATAAAGTGTCAGCATTGATGTCGGATATTGGATCTGAATTCACAAATCAAACGGTCGAAAAGTTTTTTGATAGAAATTCAATTACTCATGCTAATTCTATTCCAGGAGATCATACAGTGCTTGGAAAGATAGATCGCTTTATTCGAACGATCAAGGCAAGATTAACAAAGATGCAGGATACTATGGGATTTAAGAAGCTTACACAAAAGCTTTTAAATGATGCTATCGCTAACTACAACAATACCACTCATTCATCCATAAATGCTACACCAAATGAAATGGAAGGGAGAGTTATTTTTGACGAAATTGAACACAACAAACGAGTGGTTAAGCAAGTACAAAAAGGCATTCCAACTGGGTCTACTGTACGTTATCGCTTGAATCCGAAGCCATTTGAAAAAGAAGGTGCGAGATTTTCAAAGGCCGTGTACGAAGTAATTGGATTAGATGGATTAAAGATGCGTATTAAATCAAAGAATAATCATGTCCTATACAAACCAATTAAAATTGTAAAAGCAGAACAATCAGAAGCAGCGATTGAAAATAATCAAATCTGGGAGGTTAGCAAGATTGTTCATCATAAAACACTAAAGAATGGTAAGCACAAGTATCTAGTCAAATGGGTTGGATATGACGACAGCTTCAACACTTGGGAGCCACAAGACAATCTCAGATTGGTTAACAAGAACAGAATGTCAACAGTGGAGAAACAATATTGTTCTAAATATAGATGAAGAAGATGTGTAAATACATCACCAAAAAACAAACACAATGCACCAGAGAAGCAAAAAAGGGTGACTACTGCACTCAACACCATAACATCATTCAAATACAAATGTATAAGAAGGAACTATCTATTATTCATAAGAAGAATAGAATACTCGCTAAGAAAAACAAGGAACTCCAAATATATAAACGTCAAATTACGATCAACGAATTCGACCTCATCAAGCATCAATTGATTCAAATAAATCCGTATATGAAATTCAAGTATCTAATTGCTGATAGACGGTACCAATCTCGCTTAGAGGATGTCTTCAATGTTCCGTTTGATGAAATCGAAAAAAAATATAGAAAACTTCTATATGAAAGAAATGACTTATGTCATCCCTACACAAGTAGATACTGGTGATTTATGACAATCTGAAAGATCCTCCAGTCTTTCGCATTGAGCGTAGTTTAGCCATCTTAGCTTTCATCTCAGGGGATCCTTTTTTTGGCATACCAACACCAGTTAAATTCTTTACCTCACCACGAACAGCGTTTACTAAACCAGGCTGCCCAGTATAGGCTCCAAGCGCTTGAGCGCCTTGATCAACAACACCAGACACTAATGGTTTAACTACAGGCCAAACATTCTCTTTCAACCAAGGCCATGCTTTATCTTTGATCCAACTCCATAGCGACCCTCCACTCATTCCAGAGCCCGTAAGAGCATCTCCATCCATATTTAGCGATGCACTGGTGAAAACACAATTGATACTCCTTTCCCAGCTTGAGCAGCCTTTTTCCATTTTTTCGCGTTTTCTGGATGAAGGGCTAACTTCTTTGAAGAGCCTTTAGCCTGAGAAGCAGTGAACGATACTTTCAATGTGTTTAGAAACTTCTTTTTTTGAGCATCTGTTAACTCGTCACAACTGACCGAAACGTAAGAATTCATATTTGCATAAAATATGTATATTTCAAGAAATAAAAGGAATTTCAAAAAATTAAATAAATGTTCAGCTCTACAATGCAAATGTCTTGGGTTTTTTATTTTTAGTGGAAGCCCTCGAACCTTCAATTCCTGATCCTTCCATCATAGTTTTCTCTTTACTCGAACCGTTAGTACTCTCTTTGATCATTAAATGATTTAGTGTTTTTAGTAATCTTTCTTGATTAGTATGAGCAGCTGATTTAATTGAGTTACCTCTAAGGTTTGGATATCGCACTTTAATAATTTTCAAATGCATCATATATTAAAGTCAATCAAAAAGCTCGCCGAATCAATTTTAATTCTCTTTCCAAACGACGATTATCATTACCTAAACCACGAGCTCCTTGAAGTTTATCGAATTCATGTTGTAGAATGCTTCGACGTCCTTTAA